GCGCCGATTCCGGGGCTCCTCCTCGAAGAGGAGGAGGAGGAGAAGGAGGTGGAGGAGGGAGAAGAGAGGAGGAGGACGAGGAGGAGGAGAAAGTTGAAGAGGGAGACGAGTAGGAGGAGGGAGGAGAGGAGGAGGAGGAGGAGGAGGAGGAGGAGGAGGAGGAGGAGGAGGAGGAGGAGGAGGAGAGAGAAGAGGAGGAGGAGGAGGAGGAGGAGGAGGAGGAGGAGGCTGAGAGGCCCGGCACAGCGCGGGCAAAGCGCCCCCTCGCGAGCGTTGCGGCCTTGTGACAGGGCATTAGACGCGGGAAACGAGACGAGGCTGAGAGGCACGAGAGGCTTGAGTTTCAAAATACGTAATGTCTGCACGTTCGTGTTGCCACGTGAGGCATTCAAGAGATGGCCATATTTTCCTCGGCGGAAGGCGGCGGAAGCACAACGAGGTCGCCTCCGCTGGCGGAAGGAAAAATCGGCCTCCTAATGAACCCCATCACGCATCCGTAACAAAATTGGCTCCGAGCCTTCGCGTTGACACTGCGTGCTGCCTCAGGCCAGCGCTCAAGACGGTCCTCCAGGGGTCGGCGCACACTTGAGTGGAGTGGCACCTGCAGGTCTTTGCCATAGCTGGGCCCGTCTGGCGGCGCCTCCGGCGCCGCCCCTGGCGTGCTCCGCGCTGGGGGTCCAGCAGAGATCCAAAAAGTCCGCGCGGAACGCCGAAAGTTTATGTTTATGCAGGACTTGTTCCTCTAATCGGGGCGTCGTTAATTTTCGAGGTCATTCCAGAACCGTCTCCGCACTGATCGTCGATCTCATCGTCCAAGGAAGGGGGGGGGAGGAGAGGGAGGACAGGGGGCAGGGACGGGCCGGGAGAACGATGCGGAAGAGGAGGAGAAGGAGGAGGAGGAAGAGGAGAAGGAGGAGGAGGAGGAGGACCAGTGCAAACCCAAGAGCCATCAACGATGTTGGAATTGACCCGCCCCCTAAGCTCCCTCATCATAGGCCCCTACAGCGGTTCATTTCCATTGAGGGAACTGCCTCGTTGGAAGACAACCATTTGAAGACCTTGAAGCATGCCAGAACATTGCTCTCGGGATTTCCACGCCACGGATCAACCTGACTGCTGCGTCCTGGCGATATGGAATCGGACCAGAACGTCATTTTTGAGATTTCAGCACCACGAACCAACATAACTGTTGCACCCGCATAATCCTGAATCCTTCCAAGACGCCATGCCTGTTACGCTGATCATGGGAATCCACGCAACCCTTGCAAATGTAGAAAAAAAAAAAAAAAAAAAAAAAAAAAAAAAAAAAAAAAAAAAAAAAAAAAAAAAAAAAAAAAAAAAAAAACGAATGTGCGAGGCGCGAAGGCGAGAACCACACGTTGAAAAAGAACCGCCATCAATCCGTGAAGCTCTTGCAAATGTTTTAAACGAATGTGCGCGGCGCTAAGGCGAGAACCACATTTTGAAAAGGAACCGCCATCAACGTGCGAAACTATTGCAAATTGTTCCCTACCTAGGCTCTGCCTAGAAAGGTTCTTACTCTCTGGCTCAAAAGGGCTTGGCAGTGGGCTTCGCCCCGGGCGGTTACCCCAGGATCCGCCCCGCGGTTCCCCCAGTTACGTCCCCTTAGCTCGTGTGCGCCAACCGCGTTGCCAGTTTAGTTTTCTATTCGGGTAATTAGCATGGGTGTAATTCCCGACCTAGGCTCTGCCTAGAGGGCTAACCTAGCTTAGCTTAGCATAGCGCAGCGCTGCAGTAGCATAGCATAACATAGCATAGCATAACATAGCCAAGCATAGCAAAGCATAGCATAGCATAACATAGCATAGCACAGCGCAGCTTAGCATAGCATAGCATAGCTTAGCATAGCACAGCGAAGCATGACATAGCATAGCGCAGCATAGCATAGCATAGCATCGCATCGCATAGCATAGCAACTAATTATGCTTTCCTCGGGGCTCCAACTTCTAGGTAGGGTCACACTGGGGTAAGTAAAGCGAATGCGCGCGGCGCTAAGGCGAGAACCACATGCTGAAAACGGCCCAGCCTCAATCCGTGAAATTCATGCACTTTGTTATAACTAGTGTATGTGTGTGCGGCGCTGAGGCGAGAGCGACATGCTGAAAACCACCCGCCCTCAATCCGAAGAAACTCTTGCAAATGTTTAAAACGAATCTGCACGGCGCTAAGGCGAGAGCCACATGTTGAAAACCACCCACCTTCAACCCGTGAAAGTCTTAATGTTTGAAACGAGTGTCTGCGGCGCTAAGGCGAGAGCCACATGTTGAAAACCACGCGCCCTCAATCCGCGAAGCCCTTGCCATTGGTTTAAGCTTCAGAATCTAGAACAGTCAGGAAGCCTCGGGCGAAACGCCCAGCGCCTTAAAAACTAGCCTCGGGGTGCGACAGGGAGAAGTTATGTATAAGGAAAAGGAATGGAGGAGGAGGAGGAGGAGGAGGAGGAGGAGGAGGAGGAGGAGAAGGAGGAGGAGGAGGGGGAGGATGAGGATAAGGAGAAGAAGAAAGAGGGAGAAGGATAAGGAGCCGAGGAGAATGAGGAGGCCCACGGATGGCTCGCAACAGTGCTCCAAACACATTCGGTCCTCCTCCTCATTATCCTCCTCCGCCCCCCCCTCCTCCTTCTCATCATCCTCCTTCTCCTCGATCCCCCCCCTCCTCCTCGATCCTCCTCCCTTTCTCTTCCTCATCTTCCTCCTCCTCCTCCTCCTCCGCCTCCTCCGCCTCCTCCTCATCATCATCATCCTCCTCTCAAGCCACTTGGGCCCGAACCATTATGGCGGGGTCCATCTTCTGAGCTTCCACGAAGCGCTTGAAGGACTTTGGCCGCCCCCCCCCCCCCCGCCGAGGAACGGTGCGGCATCGACTAGTGCAGGAATTACGTTTCCCTCAGGACGTCTCCTTCCGCACGCATGTGGACCCGATGCAAGCATTGCGGGCAGTGCGAGTACAATGGTAGTTTGCAGCTTCAGCCAAGTATCTGCAGCAGTTGTTAGGCAAGTGTTTTGTTGTCTCGCCCTTGCAATGGTCGCGCAATACGTTATGATGCTGATGAGGAGGAGGCTTCTCTCGTGCACCCGAAGGGGATCCTCCGCTCACGCAGCCAGTCGCCCGCCAGTGGTGCAGACAGCGGCAAGCGTGGGAGTCGGCGCCAGACGCCACAGAACAAGCCGAAGGAACAGGCCAGCACGCTGCTTCAGAGAGCGGCGAAGGCCACCGAGGACGAGGAGCTGAAGGCCCCTCTCACAGCCCAGGCGCAGCGCCTGGAGACGGAGGCCGCCGACAGCAAAGGCGACGCGTCTGAGGTGGAGCTATTGCGACTTGCTGACGGGGCCTTTCGTGATGCAGATCACAAACACAACCAAGCGGTGGCCAACTTGGCGCGGCTCCAGAAGGCCGTCGAGGTTGCCATCACCAAGGAGCAGGAGGCGGCCAAGACCCTGGCCGAGGCGTCCCGAGCTCGACGCGCGGCCGCCCAGGCGTTGGCACGCGCCGAGGGAGCGGGCGCCACGACGACCGAAGCCACCACGCCTGGGCACGACGGTGACGGCACGGAGCTGTTCAAAGTTGTTTGGGGTCGTGGTTTCGTCGACACGTTGCATGAGCTCGAGTGCGAGGGCAATGGGAGGAAGGGGCCAGGGGATATTCGGCAGCGGCTCTTGGCAACAGAGGCGGAGATGCGCGCCAAGGACTCCGGGGCGCGCGCCTGGTTGAAGCAGGTGGGGCCCTTCAAGGCCGAGATCGCCCAGAGGATGCACAAGCAGCGCCGCGCCGATGCGACGCAGGACGCCGCTGCTGCGACAGGAGGTACGGGTGCCCCAGCGACCGCCGCAGCCCCCCCTCCTGGAGTGGGGGGGAGAGCCCGCTGAGCCCACCGTTGCGGGCGCGGCCCCAACGGACCCCGTCGGTCGCCCTGGCGAGGCAGACCAGACGGCGGCGAAGGCGGAAGCGGAGGCGGTCGCGGTTGAGGCCACACGTCTGTCGGGGGCCAAGCTCGCAGCAGCAGCTAAGCCCGAGAAGGGCAAGGCTGGCGCGGGCAAGGGCAAGGGTTCCGATGGACTACTTATTGTCTCAGAAGGTGAGCCTCGACCAGCAGTCGAGGATGGGGAACCGCATAGTCTTCAGATGTTATATGCCAATGTATCTTGTTTGGGAGACAAAGCCTGGTGTTTCGTTGAGCAGAACAGTTCGGCTTACGATGTGGTGGCTTTTGTCAAAACGCACGCGCACACAGCTTATGCTATTCGCGAATGGGAGGCGAAGGCACGAGAGCTGGAATATCGTTTGATGTCCAATGCTGCGCGGCCAAAGCACTCGGGAGCCCCCGACGTCGAGCTCGGCCGCCAGGCCACGCGCTCGAACGAGGGAGGAGATCTGTTGCTCGCCAGGTCTCACATGCAAGTGCACGGAGTGGCCGCCGCTCGCGCCGTTGGAAGCAGATTGCAGGCGCCAGGCCACGCGAGCACCGACGGATTCACTGCGCGGGTTGTGCACCGCCGTGGCTGCTCTACGGCGGCCGCGGCATTGCATGCGCACTCTCGTTCGGGGATGTGACGCGCAAATATAGGCCGCTTCCGTCGTCTTGCTGGTTTTTGTTTGCCCTGCAACTGTCGTGGGCAGTTGTGGGCGATTGGAACATGTCTGCCAGTGCGCTGGAAAAAAACGGCCATGTTCAGAAGCTCGGCGGGGCCCTCCCGCAGGCCGAGAATCCTGCCACTTGCGACCTTGCTGGAGGGACCCACATTGACTACATTACGTGCAGCCTTTCGGCTCGACCGCTGGTTAAATATGTCCACCCCGCGGTCACTGTGCCCTGGGGCCCTCGCATAGCCCTGCGTGCCACCTTCCGCGGGTCTGGGGGGCAATTGGCCACAAGGGCCACGGATGCCCTTGGGGGGCCCCCGCGGGTTCCTGGGCCCAAAGCGGATCCTAGAGTAGGCTCGAAGTCCAGTATGTCTAGGGCGCAGCAGCAGCACCAGCGA